GTTATTGCGATAAACGATAATATTGTTGTTTTGAGACCGTTTCCCCACACAAAGAACAAAGAACATTCAGTCCACTACAGTTTATGTTTTCAGGCTTGATGTTTATTTTTGAGAATATTAATGAGTGATTGGTAGTAGATTAGCTAATTTAACTGAACAGGATTCTGCAGCACATCTACATGCTAAGGTTGTCAAAGTCAAGTTAGCATAGGTTAGCACACTGCAATGGAAACACAGATTTTGATCCCTGAGTTGTTTTGGTGCTAATTCAGGCTGAACAGCAGGGCTTTTTATCATTTGTCATCAGTTTTAGTTAAGTTGGCGCCAGTTTTTCACAAAATATAATCACCAAACTGCTGTGGAAACTTAAAGCAGAAAGTCTTGGATACAGTTGAAAAGTCTCTTGAGATGAAAGTTTGTTACTGGAGCTAAATAAATTTAAATATTATGTATTGTAAGGATGTTTTTAAAGCCAATCAGTGAGTGTTTACCCAGAGGGTAAAGTGTTTTTTTCTCTGTTATTCATAAAGACACAGAAAGCCCCAGACTCCCCTCCTGAAGGCAGCTAGTACTGGTTTGTCTAAGCAGACGTAGACCTGTCCTCCATGTGCTGATGCTGGGGGTTTTCAGCTGCAGTGTTCAGTCTGTTCGACGGGGTGCAAAAAGCAATTCGCCTCTGAAGGATTTGAGAAACAGTGCAATCGTAGTGAATTTAAATGGGTTCAGGGCCCCGCGTACAGATGGCTGGGTGCACAGCCAGATACGGCGCTCAGTAGTTCAGAGCTCGCTCTCTTCCCTCCTCTAAACGTCGCCTCTCTTTTTCTTATTGCTTCCTTTATCACCCTGCTCCTTTGCACCACTTATACGTACGAGTATGTTAAAAGAAACACATGAAGAAGGAGGCGTTTTCTTTTTCTCACCGCCTGCCTTTCATCATCTCCATCACTCCGGCTCCCTGTTTCTCTCAAAGTGCAGGATTAAGATGGAGTTTGCTCCTGAAACTCTCCTGTTTACCCTTTTTACTGTTTCCAAACTCAGACATAAGATGAAGAAACAACTTTGAACAAAAACATGCAAAGGCATAAATCAGTAATGATCAAAACTTTATTTTTCTCTCACCTTCAATGAATTTTTTTGTTTAAATATTCTTAAGAAGATGGAGATAAAGCAGCACAGTGTTATGCTGATCACATTTACCACCCTTCACATTAGGATGAACAAAGACAGAGTTAAGAGACAAATATTTTAATTTCAGGTATAAATGGAGATGTTGAATTTCAAGTTAGGCGTTTGTTCAATGGGTTCTTTGCCTGAAAAAGTGGGAACACTGTCTTACATGGACAAATATATGTGTAATACATAAAATATTGTTACAATAACCTCCTGGTCATCCTCTTTGATCTCCAACTGATTCATCAACATTTCTGAAATTGTTTCTCTTCTACTTCCTGCTGTTATCTTTGGCTCAGAGTAGACCAATAATGTCAGAGTGGCAACAGCTCACTTCAAGATGGTTTTATTTCTAATTTTGGTTCTTTTTAAACAAAGTAAATGTAAACTAATCATCTTCTCTTTGTTTTGTTTTTTTGCTGTGGCTGCAGTCACGGTGGTCCTTGCAGTTTTTCCTCCTTCCCTGGTAAGAGCGGGTAGACGTCCAATCCAAACAAGTTAATTAGTGGGGAGATGGCGCTGGCGTAAACGAGGCTAATGGAATAAACACTGTCCTAAAAGAAGAGATTAGCAATTAAGCTATTGGAGTGTGGAGTCATTTCGGTTCCATTGTGCCGTCTTTTAATGCGGCGCAGTAATGAAAGCGGCTCCTGTCCACGTCTGCATGTATGAGCGGGAGATGTTGGGTGATAATAAGCTGCTCCCTCTGATTAGCTTAGCAGCCTTTTGTTTACAGTATAATAGCTACAGTCCTGACACCTGGTGTGCAGAGAATCCCACTCTTCCAGTAGATGTTTATAAACGTGAAGAGTTGAAGAAGAGCATATTGAGTCGGTCTCCCACGCTGCTTCCTGTTGTGAAGTGCTGAGTTGAATTAATGAACTGTGAGTGTGTGTGCATTGTACAGTATGTTTACCTCTGCGCATACGGTGTGTGTGAAACTCTATGTAAACAATAAACACACGTTGTGAAAGGAAGGGACCCTCTAAACAAATATTCCATTTCTTGAAGTTAAGATTGGATTTTCAATGAAAATTAACACTGAAATGTGCAGAATAACAAAATTACAGGTACAAATTGCACTGAGATATCCATAAGTGATATCAACCTTCCAGACGTCTCAGGTTTTCTGCATCCCCAGAACCAAACATGGAGATGCAGCGCTCAGCTTCTATGTGCCACAAATCTGGAACTAACTTCCAGAAAACTGCAAAACAGCTGAAACACTGAGAGCCTTTAAATCTGGACTAAAAACCCACCTACTTAGTTTCACTAGAACCAAAATAAATGCAACACTGACCAACAACTCAGTTGACATGACGCCAGCTCCGCCCCCATGCTGACGTAGAGCAATCCTCCATCAGTCAGTCCAGGTGGTTTGTCTGGAAGAACACGCCCTGGAGGAGCTGAACCTGCAACAACATCGACATTTATCATCGCAAACACGTCAGAGAGATATTGAGGAAAATAATAGGAAATCATTGTCCAACGTTGCCAGAGGGGAATCCTGACAGCCGTTACCCAAAGCGTGTAGAGGACGGAATATAATTTATCACATTTCCAAAACCAAAACAGTGTGGAATGGATCCAGGCCTGCAGCCCACCTCATGTCCACTTGAATGAAACTGTTATCAACGGCAACTAACATGTTCGTCTGCAAGAAGGTAACTGGTAGTAAATATCCCGTTTTTTTACATGATAGTCAAATCAAAGCTCAATAAGTGGAGGTATGCTTCATTTTATGTGCGTACATTCCAATGGTGGGTCTATGGCAGGATGAAAATGTGCTGCAGTAACTTTGGTTTTTACATTTAAGCACCTTTTTATGCGCCTGCTTGTTTTTAAGCATTTCTCTGAAGGAAGATTTTCACAAGCCTGTAATATTTATGTCATTACTCACCCGTTTTGCACGTGCAAAACTTTTGGTCCAACACAGCATTCATACTGAGACGTTGTGCCTCTCATTAGTCCTCTCGCTGAGAAGGACTTGAGCTATAACGTTGATTTCTCTGTTTCCTGCAAATAACTTTCCAGACCTGATGTACGACTGGTTGGAGAATTTCCTTGTCTTTGCCTAATCTGAGGTTTCGCTCTACTTCTGCATGGGGGGGGGGCGTGTCATATTGTTGACTGTATGGTATCTTGTATGAGTTTGTATTTCTGTGATACTGTATTTGGGGCAAAAAAACTGCTTCACTCTGAGTTATGTTAACAGTCAATTTCTCAATTCTCTCAATATTTTAATGTGCTTGGGAAAATCTTGAACAATCATCGTTTAGACTGTAAATTAGGCGTTTTGCATTCTACGGTAAATTAGAATATTTGAATATTTTTGTATCTTTTGTGACGCTGAGAGCAACGTTCAGGTTACAGTACGCTCCAACCAAACACACAGAAAGAAAAGAGTTGGCTTCGTGCGAGTGTAATTCATCAGGTCCGGCCCCGTCTGTCCAGGCTGATGAATCGAGGAGCGGTGGAGACAAAAAGACTCGCAGCCTCTCCGCTCGCCGACTTTATCAGCCACACCACCATTCATTGTTCGTATCTATTTGTCGAGCAGCGGCCGGGGAAGTTGTTAACCTGCGGCCCTCTGGGCTCCTGAACACAGGCGTCCAGACGAAGTGAAGAACAGCAAGATTTGTGTTGGCAGTGTGCGTCTGTCTCCTGCTTTTCTACTGTTCTTGGATACAAATGCTTCAGTTTTAATTCAGTTATGAGTTGTAAACACTTACAGGAAAGTTTAAATTAATATTGTGTTAACTCCTGATGTTTAAAATTGGCAGTGGCAAAACATCTGAAAGCTCTACACAGAGGTTTGATGGATCTAAATGCTTCATGAAGTCATAGCCAGAGTTGGATACTTTTACTTGAGTCATTTTATTATTTAGTATCGTTACTCTTGAGTAAAATTTCTGGATTTTCTGAAAATCAAACATGTTTTAAAGAAAAATTCACCAGACACACACCTGCAATTTTGGTAAAGTTTCATCATAAGTTTCTTTTATTATTGATAGAAGCTGATCTGGAAAAAAATATTTTGCCCAGTTTTATTTTTTTGTTACTTGTATGAATTATTGTAATTCTGGTCCTTAAAACACCAAAATTTCCACTTAATTTTACATTTTAGTTCTTCTGATGATGTAATTTTTTAATATTGAATGATTGATAATTTGATCAGTTACTCAATACTTTCAACCAAATACGTTTTTACTCAAGTAATTTCTTCGGTGGCTAGATTTTACTTTGACTTGAATAAAAATATGTTGAAGTAGTGCTACTTTTACTTGAGTACAATTTTTGGGTTCTCTGTCTGATCATAGTCAAATATTTTCAATCACAGAAACTTTTATTGAACTTTTAACTCGGGGTTCATGATGACAAATCCGTGTCAAATAAATATCTCAAATACTGCCAAACTGATGTCGTGACCTTTTCCGTCTTATCAAGTTTTCTCTCCACATCATTGTTTTTTATTTTTAAGCAGTTATGAGGCGCGGTGGGGAAAATTTGCACTGCTGCTGCTGCCAGTTACTCAGCAGGTTGTTGCCAGGCAACCAAAGTTGGGCGGAACTTGGAAGTGCTTGTTGCTAGGCAGGTTGTTGCCAGGCAACCAAAGAGTGAGTTGATCCCACCAACATAGCTTTGCTAGCTGCGAAGTAGAGCTGCTATTTCTTTCCTCTGCCTACATCTCCCAGAATGCCGTGCGGTTGTGGATCATAGTTCAGTGAATATTCTACATGCTGAATTTTCTATCCAACGCTTCATTTATTGGCATTGGTAATGTGTCTCTGGCGATATATATTGTTGATTAATTGTTCATCCCTATCCAGAGTGAAACAGTTAAAACTCCCCATCCTGATGTGCTACATCTGTCGCTTTGCTTCCAGTCCACTGCTCAAATGGGTCAAAAGTCCTCCAGATGCAACTTCTTCAATCAATCTGAACCGTGGATCTTCTAGCTGATGTTCTGATTTGGGGAAAGTTTGTTCGACTTGCAGCCTGGACACGCTGCAGGTTTTAACCCCACTGAGAACCGGTCGTCAGTCCTTAAACCGAGGCCAACAAACTGAACTGGAGCTACAAACATGGTGAGTCAACACTGTGACCAAAGAAGGTGTTTTTCTACAAAAAGCCTTAAAAACTCTTAAAATACTCTAACTGTTCTCCAGTAAATCATAGAAAACATCCAGATGGAGCGGCAGAGACGTGTTTCAGCCCATTTAAGCTGCAGACATGTGTTAACTCAGGTGTAAGCTAACATTAAAGACAGTCGCCATCCTTCATGTCCCCCTCTGAACAAAAGCCTTTTGTGGCACTCGGGCGGATTGACAGATTCAATATGGGCCCGGCAGCAGAAAGCAGATTAAGTCGCTGCATCATTGCTTACGGCTCTTTTTAGACACCATTAATTACATTAGTCATTGTGAGCCATTCTTTAGCTTGAAGTAAAAAGATTGAAAGCTTATTAACTTTCAAGTAGTAGATAATATACATTTTATTTAAAATCCTTCAGTTTTCTTGGACATGCTCTGCTTTAGCATGAGACTCTACTGTGCAATGCAGTTACCTATGGTCGGATATTCCTGCAGAGTTTCTCTTGAGGCAGTAAATCAGAGCATATGAGTCGTCAGGTTGAGCTACTCTTCATGATTAATAGCAGAAAATGCAGCAAAGACCAATCCAGATGTTGTGGAGTTTACAGCCAGGAATTAAAAGCTATAAAACATCAACAAAGTTAGTTTTGATTAACTGAAGCTTTGGATTGATCAATAATCAATAATGGAAGTCACAAAACATCTGAGAGATAAATAATCTTGGTTAATGACTGGACAGAATAACTTGGTATAATTTCTGTAATTCCGTATATAGTCTTACTTTGGCTTTGCTGTCCTTTACTCCTTGAAATTCCCAGTTAGATTAAAGCAGTGTCATGAGCTGAAATGGCCTAGTCAAAGTGCAGACCTGAATCAAACTGAGAATCTGCTTTACATCTAGTCTGACTGAGCCTTGGGGTGTTTTTTTACATTTTTTTGTACTCAATAGTCCAGTAGACTCGATTCGAATGGGAACCTAATGCGCCGTTTGCGGTTTATTTCTCAAACAAACCAAACCTTTGGAAAACCTGTTCCCCCTCCTCGCCTCTGGGGGCGCTGCAGCAAATAATAAATAGACCATTTTTCTTACCTGTTGTCCAGAAAGTACTGGATGTAAACGGAGAAAAACTTAAGAATTTAAATGATAAAATAGCAGTTTTTTAGCAGCATTCAGATGACTTTCTGTTTCTCTTCCTTCACGTTTAATTATCTTGGCAAGGATTTGTTTCAAAACTGAGTTTATCTGCAGAAATCACACAAATGGGTAAATCAAACATAATGACTTTTGTAAAAAAAAAAAAAAAAAAAACATCTGAACCTCTTCGTTTCATGAAAACATTCGGTTCACCAGAGGGCAAAATTAACTACAAGCATCAGGATATTTTCCTTCTTGTTTCCCATAGAAACCAGTTAAATTTTCCCCACTGAATCAATAATTTTAGACTCTTTTTTTTGTTGCCTGCTATGAAATCTGATATGCTTCATGTCTGTTAGAACCAGCAGCTACTTAACTCGGCCAGCTTTGCGTAAAATGTGGAAACAGATGGAAATATTTGGCCTGGCTCAGCCTGAAAAAACGTTTTCATTCATTTCCTCCAAAATATGAGGCGCGGGCTGCTTTGCTTTTCTGTTTTATGACTTATTTAAACTCCTGACAGGCTTAACTGACGTTTTATTGCACCTCTCTCTGCCCTCTTCTGTCTTTCCTCCTTTCACCATTTCCTCGTTTCACATTCGGTGCCTCATGCAGACCTTATGCTTCCAGTCACTCAGCAGGAAGATTAATTTGATTGTAATCTATCTGAAGCTCCTCTGCCACTGAAGCAAAATCCGTTTTGCAAAAAAATAAATAAAAGTATTTCTGTTGATAAGAAAGCTGAGATAAGTGCAAGGCATCAAGTCCAGGTTGTCTCGTCTGTAGAAAGTCATCATCTTTTCACCTCCGCATGAAACCGGGCTACAGATATGAAATGTCTTGAAACTTCTTGTTATCTCTCTTGGTTCTGAAACGTGCCGGCTGCATAGCAACGAGAAAACCAGCAACAGAAACGTTGCATGTTATTGTTCAGAAGGCGATTCTTTTACATGCCGTTCGTAGCCGCGCTGCCTGGTAGAACGAAGTGGTTAACAAAATAAAACCAAAATTAAACCTGGAGATGTAGGAATTATTAATTCAGTGCAGTCCGCCACAGCAGAGGGCAAAATGACGCAGAAAAACTCAAAATCTCTCGTATTCTGTCCTCTTGCCATCTGTGTTGGCTACGCTACACACAGACTTGTTGCTATAGCAACTAACAACAACGCCACCATACGTTTCAGGATTCGATACCAAAAAACACTAAGTTTAACAGTCCTGTGTTTAGGATTGATGTTTATTTCATGATCATTAATAAATGATCATTGTGGTAGATTAGCTTCCGCTGCTATTAGCCAAGCTAACACAGCGACGGTTGATTAGCTAAATTTAAACACCTGCTCTACTGATGATCTGTCAGAGTCGATGTTTAGGTCTTTTTTTTTTTTTTTTTTTTTTTTTTAACTGAACTGAAACACAGAATCCCGCAGCACATCTATATGTTACGGTTTTCATAGTCAAGCTAGCACAGCTGAACTACTTTCCTCTCCCTTGCTATTTTTTTCATTAAAACTTTTTCCTGACCTTACCTAGTTGTCATCGTGTTGACAATTAGTAGTGAGGCTCTGCGTCCCTTTTCCTTTTGCATATCACAATTTTTATGTTGACAACACATTTTAACATTTTTAAAGAATAAATCTGAATAAAACACTCATTTTCTGGTGATTCTTTATAAATGAAATGTGGGAGACTCAAATCATTTTGAACTCCTGAATTTAAATAAAAACATTTTACAAATTACTGATCTGCTCTCAAAACCATTGGAAAAACTGTGAATATTTAAAAGGCTTCTATTTTTGATTTGGAGACTGTTGCTTTAATGGCTCCATATTTACACTGAAATGGTTTTCATGTTAGCATAATAGCTAAAGAAAATGTGTTTTTATACCTGTGAAGTAGCTCCATCTCCTGCAGACTCTATAATGTAAAAGCCTGCTGATTTCATCCACTCCAAATAAATTTAGTTGCAGATCACATAGGCGAACAAACATGTGTTACCTTGGAAACTGTTGATCACACCTCAACACCTTTTATTACCCTCATATAGACGCCGGCACGCCGAATGTTGCAGGCATGTTATTATTTTAAACATTATGTGTTTGATAATGAAGTTATAAATCTGTTTATATTCCTCAGGTCTCTTTATTTGCTGCTCTGTTGCCTTTATTTTCATTTCTCCATTAAATACATGAACTAATCTGTTTCCTGCTATCCGGTTAAAAGTGCGGATGAGACGTCTGGTCCTGCTTGAGCTTGACATATGGCGAGTTGATGCGCTGCTTAATGTCGATTCCCAGGCGAGAGATGCCTGATGAATCGCACACTAATGAACTTGTCGAATGATAGATTAGAGCTGAGGGTCTGGAGACACACGAAGAACACAGGAACATGATGTTCGCTCACTCAGACTCGCTTGATCCTCTTTTTATTCCTGCACAAACAAATCCATACATCCATGCTCGCAGCGCACACCGCCGTCCTGCGCTTCATCTCTGCTGAACTGCTGTGTGGATCCACCGGCGAAGTGCTGTGTGTTGTTCCCACATTAGCATGGAAAACGGCGGCAGCACGGAGATGAAGCAGATTGGGATGTGAAATCGTTTTGGTGTTTAAATAAGATGTTTGGAAAGGGAAACTGCAGCAAATCAAAGCTTGTGTGAACGTTTAAGCAACATGTTTCAGCAGTTATTATTCTACAAAACGTGGGAGCTCGTTGTGCCTGAGCGTCTTAGTGCCAAGTTAAATAACAGCAATAATTTGGATTACTTCGCATTTTATAGAAGGAAATACAACTACGAGTTTATTTTTCAAGGTTACACTTTCACATTTATAAATCTAACAATTTCAAACTTGATGTTTAGGTAGAAAACTAAATATATAGCTAGCTCATTAAATATTTAACTGTTGGCTATGGATTTTAACTACTTCATGACTAAATTTTTAGTTTATAAACAAAATATTTAACTTCTTAGCTAAATATTTAGATCAGAGGTCAGTATTGAACTTGCTAAATTTAGTTAGGGGGCTAAATAATTAGCTGTTTAGCTTCAAACTAAACAGTCTCATCAGCAGGTGTTTACATATAACCAGCTTTTATTTGATGATTTATGTCCGCTTATCGACATGAATTTATATAATGGCTAAATATTTAGGTTGGAGCTAAATATTTTGCTTGCTAAGTAAATATTTTTGCTTAACTTAAATATTATGTTGCTGGCTAATTTTTTTTGTTTGAGGCAAAATATTTACCTTTAAACTAGATTTAGCTTGATAATTTTTATTAGCTTGAACTACAAATTTTGCTTAAAATTCTATATTTAGCTTTCTAAATCAGTATTTAGTTTGTAGCTAAATATTTAGTTTGCTAACCAAATATTTAGATCAGAGATGACTTTTAGCTACCTAACATCTAGCTAGCAGGAATATTTAACTCTGCTAGCTATCTATCTCCTGCTATTTATAGCTAAATGTTTAGTTTATACACTAAATATTTAACTTTCTAACTTAACATTTAGCTTCCTAGCTATTTTTTGAAGCAAATATTTAGCTCAAACTAAATTTAGCTTGCTAGCTTTTAATTTGGGGCTAAATATTTAGCTTGCTAACCAAGTATTTATGTTAGAGCTAATTATGTAACGTGAGGCTAAATATTTAGCTTTCTAATTAAATATTTGTTTGAAATATAAATTAATAGCATGATGTTAGATGTTTTTTTCATTCACAAGCAGCACCACATGCAGATGTTTGGGGTTTTTAACAGGAGACTTTTGAATCTTTGCTGCATATTTGAAGATCCTCCATTAAAACATTCGTAGGACACGACGGATGCATAAGACGCTTTAAACAAGCTCTGTTGTTG